ACACACACACACACACACACACACACACACACACACACACGGATTTTAGGGGTAAAAAGCAGGTCGGGCCCCCAGAGGGGGGGGGGGCAGTGCACACAGCAGGCCGGAGCATCCTCCTGCATTACTTTGCTCAACACGACACAGACGGGTGAAATGGATACTAAAGTATCTTCAACCACATAGCCAAGGCCCTGGGATAAGGATATTTAACCCTTTTGTACAGCGGACATAACTGAGCCCTACTTTTGAGTTTTACTTCTGTCAAATGCTTTGAAGGTGACAGAATCTGAAATGTTCCACAAAAATATCTCTTCATGTACGTCACCGTCACCCTTCGCTTCCTCTCTCTCTGTCGCTTTCAAAACGCACACGAACACACCACACGCTGCAGCAGCTGCCCTCCGTCTGTCACTGTCCTCCTTGTGCTAATGTCATTCATGAAAAATGTCCTCATGTAAAATAAGTTAAACTAAAATGACAAAATATTTGGTTTTGGCGAGACTGGATTGACTGAAATTTTACAAGTAATAATAATAATAATATAAACTGATGACTGAAAAAGAGACATTTGACACAGGACTAAGAGTAGATAAAAAAAAAATACCTGATAAAATTAGAGAAAACATTTTGTCACCAGTAATGACTCAAAGTTGATTAAAATTGAATGACTTTTCGTCGACTAAAACATGTTAAGTTGCTGTCGACTTAAATTAGACTATAACTATGAAGGCTAAAAAGGACTAAAATGAGACATTGTTGTGTAAATATTAAGATGAAGACTAAATCTAGCTGCTAAAATAAACACTGGACAGAGGACAGCCCGACATGAATGTGCACAGTGACCAAGTCGTAAAACAAGCTGCTGTAAAGCAGTTTCATTCAAAACCTAAAAATAAACCCAAAGATACATTTGAAAACACTTTCAGAGGAGTTTCTCTGAAGCCATGTCTGATCATAGAATACAGAGTAAGTTATCGTGACATACTAAACAGTTGCTGCAATGTTGTGGTACAATATATGATATAATCGTCCCTCTTTGTTCCCCGACGCTGTGAAGAAAACAAACACTGCATTTTGAAAACCATCACTGTAATGTGCCGTGGTTTAGCTAAACAGATACTTTTGACTAAAAACAGAACATTATGGAGAGAGTGTCTGAGGGTTATGGCTTTGTAGTATTGCTGATGTGTGGAGATGACATAACTCTGGCCTGTGGGACAGAAACCAGATTCTAATTTAGCTTTTATTGGAGGAAAATCTTGGGAGGAACATTTGGGAAATTTGGATTATGGGCCTGAGCGAAGTGACAGACGTGAAAAACGTGATTGAAAATATACAGTTATTGTAAATGATGAGGGATGCCTGATTCTCACCAAAAGAAATATTTGCAGCCCAATACTAATGTCTGATTAGGAAGGTCCTGCTCACCCTCAGATCTGAGTCTCTAAAGGATTTATTTTCACATCTTTGGGTTTTTTACAGCCCAAATAACAGATAAACTAATCTTCTCAACAGACTGGAAAAATTATTCAGGCAAGAAGATTGGGAGATTGGAAACTTCTGATGCTGAAGCTGCTCACCAAGTTCCCTCTTCCTGCAATAGTCCAAATGACCTATATTTAGAAAACAGTTATAAAGTCAAGGACTCACGTAAACAGCTCAGTTTAATCCTAGTCATAACATCATCCGGCTGAATGCGGTTATGGACAATAAAAGCGTGAATACACAAACTGATATATCAAGCACATCTGTCAACAAACTGAAAGACACAAGATGTTGAAACGTCTCACCAGTCAAATATAAATCCAAGTAGTTTTGCTTCAAAGTGAAAGATTATTATTTATTATTTGCTCAAGGACTCTTCTGCAGCAGAAATGACTCCCTAGTGTCTTCTGCGGGTGGCAGACGAAGATAAGTCAACTTTATTGTTTAACAGAAATTCAAGGAATCATGTTTCTAGCTGGTGTGGGTATTGAAAACTTGAACGACTTTCACAATGGACAAATCAAAGGCAATTCAATAGCATGCATGGCTAACGTGTGTTGTGTGAGGAGGAGCGAGCAGGTGATTACGTCATCGCTTGGCTCTGTGACAGAGGGATGAGCCAACAGCTCGGCGTGTGTTTATTAGCTTTGTAGGCAGCGGAACTACCGCTGTAATGTTACTTAACCACTCTGATTTCCAGCTGAGAAATGTTCCATCCATATTCTCTCACCTCACACACACACACACACACACACACACACACGCACACACACACACACACACCTACTGTGGCAACGGAGAAAAGCCTGCTGTACCTACAGCCTCACTCAGCAGCACTTATGTGCATCTTACATTCGTGGCTCATTTCCAGCTCAGTATAGCAAAAAATCAGACATAATAACGTGACAATTTAACAATGTGCTCATTTTTAGGTTCATACTTGTATTTTGGGGTTTCTACTAGAACATGTGTCTGAATATACTTGTTTTCTTTCCTTTTCTGATATCCCGCCGTTCTTTTGGAAGGACTGAATAAGATATATTCAATGAAGATATAAACAAAAGTCACTCCTAACTCACTTAACTTTTACTCACAGGCTTTTAGGCAAACAGAAATGTGGAACTTCAAGGAATATTTTATAACGTGTGAGCACAATAAAGGCATGCCGAAAACAAACACATTAATTCCTAGTTCAGCCCCGTCTAACCTCTCCGCCCTGCTAGCTGCTATAAACACATTTTACAGGCTGGTTTTCAAAGGGTTCATTCTTTCGATGGGACCAGCTAAGTGACACTGGGAGAGGGTGTGAACTGTTTGGAGAAGCCACAGGAACAGACAGACATTTAAAAACCTGTCAACTCAGCAGTACAGTCAGACAGAGTGGCACTAACACTGATGAGTCAAATTAAACTTCAAAATGAAAGGGGGGGGGGGGGTTGTGCTTTATTTATGCGACAGTTAATTTAAATTTATTTCCCTGCCACAAAGTCAACGGTTGGTTTTTCTCTTTTTAACCTAAAGACAAACAGCTTTAAAGAAAGCGGTATAGTGACAGTTGAGACTTACGGTGTGGAGTCCAAGCTGATGCTGTTGGCCTGCGTGGACGACGCCGATCTGTGATTGGAGGAGGAGAAGACAGGCAGGCTGGGTGAAGCGTGGATCACATGATCGACCAGGTGGCCGACGGACGAAGGGCGGAGTCGTGTGCCCTCTTGTACAAACAGCGAGTTCCTGACGGACAAACGGATGCAAAGACACACAGCGTTAAAGGGCTGAGAACACGGCCTCAAAACCTTTTTTTTGCGCCGACCAAAAATTATAACGTTTATATTTCTCTAACGTGAAGCCTGAATCTGGGACTCACTGATTGGGCGTCCCAGGTGGCGAGCGAGTGGGCAGGCTCTGGGTCTCCAGTCTCTCATCTGATAGGCTGTTCCTGCTGACCGACTCCCAGTCAGTTCCGCCCACCAGCTTCCTGGCCAACGGCTTGCTGGGTGATCTGCGCGGACCGAGGCATTTATTTGGTTGTGTCCAAAATAAAAACAATAATAATGAAACAAGTCCAAGTAGTTCATTGAACTAATCAAGAAAGATGTGTATTACCTGGCAAATATCCTGTCCTTGATGCCTTTCTCCTTTCCATACTGCACAGACTGCACCTCTGTCCGCCCGCTAGAGACACACAAACAACAAGAACAACTGTCAGTGGACTTGAATAATTCAACTTTAACTTTGCCGTATTTGGCTTAAAATTGAATCTTAAAAACCAGTCAAAATAACACCAGCATTAACAGTTGAGTGTAGTCGGCCAGCTTCAATATGGATATTTCATCGTATTATACACTGTTAATAACATGTTAAAGCAAAATCTCAATTGAAAGGCGTATCATGTTGGACAGTCGGTCAATATCCAAAGAGCAAAAACACAGACACACTGTCAAGCCAAACTTCAGAGCAAAGCCTGCTGGGGTTGTATCACTGCTGCTCAATAATGCATCACAAGACCTCAAACTCTCCGTTCACAACTCACCCTCATTTCATAGAAAACTACTAAGTTGTCACAAGGCACAATATAGTAAAATGTTTGTAAAAGTGATTTTATTATTTCCCCTTTCCAACGTAAAATTCCCCAAAATGTATAGAACATCACCGATGTGAAGTAGTTTGTTAGAGAGGTGCACATGGACGCCATGAATAATTAAGTTGTGGTTTTCTGGGGGAAGATAGCATGAGAGGCACTGGCCTTCCAGTGTTTCAGCCTCTGAAAGGGAAACAACTGCATCAACCTCCAAACAAACATGTACTTCTGTTGATGTTTACTGAGAGTCAGACAGTGAAATGTAGACAAAGCATCCACAAGTCTGGTCCATGTATGTGTGTGTGTACATGTCAATCTCTCAAAGTATGGCTGTCAGGGTGAGGCTGTTTGGAAATTCACTGTCTTGTTCTGTGGATACATATGTGTGTGTGTGTGTGTGTGTGTGTGTGTCATCTTGTTCTGACCAGTATCTGAACTTGGAGCCCAGGGTGAAGTAGTGAGCGAAGAAGTTCTTCTGTGGTGGGATGGGCCGATCCAGCCTGAAGAAGGTGTGGTGCTCCACGCAGGCCTTCCACAGGTTTTTACAGGCCCGGTAGTTCACCATGTTGAAACCCAGCAGCGTTTCCCGGGTCTCAGTCTGTGTGCGGGGAGGTAGAGAGAATGGTTAGCGGGCCTTTGAGTAAGACTTTGGCATTCAGCATGTGAAGTGACAGTGGGTGACCAGAATTCAGTTTATCCGAGTCCAACAGTGGGCATAATGCAAATAAAGATACATTATGCAGCGTGTGGCTAACCATTTAACTGTTTTTCCATTTATTTTAGTTCACCGTTTAGCTGTTTATCTGTTACTGTTAGCTAACATTTAAACTGTTTGTACATTACTTTTAGCTAACATTTCAACTGTACACAGGTCAGTTGTCTGTGTAGTTGTTTGTTATATTATGAATGAGAAAAGATCCACGTGTCAAACAAGGGATGCAGGACACAGCGGGGGATGAGAGCAGAGTCAACGAGGTCACAGACAGCAGGGGGTTAATCTGTACAGTATATACACACATTTAACATTCAGTATGTAAAAAAAACACACACACACACACACACACACACACAGGGTAATCTGTTCAAACATCACAAATGTGGGAAGGAGGTGGTGGTTAAGAAGAGTGTGTGTGTGTGTGTGTGTACTTACACCTACCGCCTCTCTTCTCAGCTGGATGAAAAATTGTTTGCACTTGAAGGAGATTTTCACTATTTTCAACCTGGAAGCAGAAAAAGACAAAGTTGGTGTCTCTACAGTTAATGAGCCGATCAGCTGTATTGGGACACTGATGTTAAATGTTTACACTTTTGATAAAAGTCAGTCATTGTGCTTTGGTAAGTATCATTAGTGGACATGCCCCAATACAAAACAAGGTAACAATCTTAAACAGCTTCGATTTTTTGAAAAACATGCGTTCTCAAATGTGTAATACTTTTGTTTTAATGTAATGTAGATTAAAAAAAATGTCTTTTGGTCATGCCAACAGCCAAATAAAAATACAGTAGCATCTCCTAATATTGTGGAAAAGGAAAGTTGTGCGATTAAATGTCATACTTAATGTTTTACACTATGATCACTGCTTTTTAATTTCATTGTTTGCTGAAAGGTGCTCCTCCTGATGGCCATGGCCAGCTATTGTGATAATATTCAATGGTGTTTGAACAAATAGAATCATTAACACGGTTTGTTTAGATATAAAGCCTCATTGAATTGTGTTAGTGGAATACAATCATTTAACAAGAAGAGGCAAGTTTCTTGCCTGATTATTTGTCATATTGTTTGAGTAAGAAAATAAACCAAATGCACTGAAAGCAAAACAATGAACAGCTTTATTTTCTCAGCAGCTTTCAGGTTGATGTGAACAGTCATTTGTCTCGCCATCGTGATTCTCCCTCCTCAACATCTAATTATCCCTCTCTCCCCCTTTAAGTAATCTTAAAGTTGTAGATATTGCATCATCCATTGAAGCTTTATGATGCGAGTGAAATATTAAAACTCTTTATGGCTGAATATAATGGTTGCTATTTCTGGAAGTTAACTTACAATATCCTGTACAGTTCTATCATTCTCGTTCACCTCTCGCTATTTTTAAGGATGTTTTCCTCTCACTTTTTCTCATGGATGTAAACACGGTAGCTAGCTGGGTATGCAGGAAGATAACGTTGACGTTCCTTATGTCTCTCATCACGCCTACAGAGCTCTAATTGGTCAACTGTATCTCAAACATGCAGAAACAGCCGTCGATAAGCAAAACACGAAGAAAGAAACTGGAATTCAAGATTAAGAGTCCGAACAATGTTTGCATGCACAGCATCACTTTGTAATGATCCACTCTCACTCTCTCATATCAGTCGTATTTGAGAGGTTTAAGTAAAAATAACTTTTAATTTGACCATGCACAAGTTGAAGCTTAGCCATACTCCACCATATTCTAAACAATGAAAACATTCATAACTAGCAATGTAGATGGAAGTACTGCAATCCAATCTTGACGTTCAGGAACCAATAAATAGAACTGAGAAGCACACTCCTCCATGAATCGCCTGTTCTTCAAGTAAGCCGACCCATGACTCACGTCCCAACTGTTCATTTAACCTCCGACCCGCTCCTCCTTCCATAGCTGGAGGGCGAGAGCGTGACCACACCGGAGCCTCTCCCAGCGGTTCAAGGATCGCCGATCCGCATAATATCGAGTCATGCATCTAAAGCGGCAGAAACGGTATGAAATAATATTGGAATCAGAAGACCACACGCGCGGCCGCAGTACGAGGTCTGCTGCCGAGCAGCAGCGGAGTAACATAAACCCTCCCGAGAGCTCTGTTGCTGCTGCTGTGACTCATCGCTCGCTGCTAAATATATTTTACATACTTACTCACACACTCTCTCGCATGGACAAACACACGTACACACACATGCTTAGGCAGAGTGTGAGTCATGCCCCATCGAAGTGTGGCTCATTTGTCAGGCTGCTGTGAACAGAAATAGGAGAGGGGGGGGGTAAAATATGTCTCCTTCTCTTGACCCTTCCTTACTGTATCGTACAGTTACATTTATTATTCGCATGGGGGAATAAAGACAAGTAGAGAGGAGAGACACCGGGAGATGTGACAGGACTGTAGCCGATGTAGGACATTGTGAGCCTTTGTTGAAGTGAGGATGAAGAACGAAAACATGAAAAGGAAATCCGTGAGCATAGGTTTTGAGAGACACAGTGGACTATTGTGTCGCTCTCTCTCTTTCTCACACATGGACAGCTGTTGTGGACACCGCTGTTGGTCTCTAAATTTAGCTCAGCTGACAGGATATGAACACACACACACACACACACACACACTGTTTTCTCTCCTCCACTTAGGAGGATTTTGCACTGATTCCATAGAGACTTATCCTAACCCGAACCAAAAAAAGTCTTTACCCTAAAAATTTCATGGTTTGGCCGCAAATGGGACGCGAGTCCCCAGAATTATGACTTCAGCTCCCCGCAATGTCAGTAACACAAAACCCTTCGTTCTGCAAACCCTTCGTAAGCACACACACTCTAACTCATCTTATCACAAACATCTTACTGTATTAGACACTCACATACACACACACACACACCAGCTGCTATGTGCATTTGGTCAGGGTGTGTGTGCGTGTGTGTGTGTTAAGCCTACACACGAGTGAATTATCTTCCGGAGTTACAGGGATTTGAGTTGTTACTATCCCACCCCCGGCACCCATTAACATTTAGCCTCCCACAGTGCAGCAGCAGAGGATGGGAGATTTCCAAGAATCGATGCTTTGGAGAGAACGAGAGCAAGAGACATAGAGCGATGAGAGCAAGTGAATTAAACAGAGAGGGTAAAAAAAAAAAAAAAAAAAAAAAAAAAAGTGTGAGCGGATTTGATGCCGATAATATTTCCAGGAAACCTAGTTCAACTCACCCCCCCCCCCCCCTAGAAATATCTGCTGGAATCATCTGCATAATTCCAGCAAAGATCAACTGAGGCTTAAACGTTTACATGCCATGTCAATAATCACCATGTGTGAGGTTACCAAAACATTACGCAGCACATTTCTCAGCAAAAAGGCTTCCTGGAGGCGGTTCAAGTGACGCTGGCAGACGTTTGAGACGAGAACATCCACAGTTTGATTCCCCGGCTCAGGGGTAATCTGGCTTTTGGAAATGACAGAAACGCGCTGTTTTAGTCCACCGAAAAGCAAGGCAGCAAAGATTCAACTGTTACAGTGGAGCTGCTAATAGTGACTGAAAATATCAATGGAGAAAGCTTTTTGGTTGTCTTCTGTTTTTCATCCACAGTTCTGCTCATTCACATCTAAAAGCTGCCAGGTTTCAGCTTCACTGAAACCGTTGGTCTCCAGCTGCCCTGCTCGTAGGCTTCCAGCAGGTGTAACTGAAGCTGTCGAGATTCTTTCATGTCTCGCACTTACATGCTCGAGTTGCATGTACGCTTTATGTTTCATCTCTTTTGGGATGTGTTTTTGCCCTCAAACCGACACACAGAACACAAACTACTGGTGGAAGTTGTGTTAAAAATCTGATTGAGCATTAACAACTCTCCCACGGCCCCGGAGTTCCAGGGCGTCCCACAGGGTTCAGTACTTGGTTTTCCTCCTATTCATCGTCTACCGGATTCCCCTCAGAGATTCATGATTACCAATGATTACATATCCACTAAATCCATCACCACTAAAACTCCCTCCAAAACTGCCTCGCTGAAGGTTAATCATGGATGCGAGCCAACTTTCTAAAACCGGACTGGTTCAAATCTGAGACCATCATCAGTGGGCCTCAAGTTCTCACCAAAACCACCCACAACTTCTGCCTCATCATTAGAGACGTGTGTGTGTGTGTGTGTGTTTGTCACTCACCATGGGAAATAGTTCATCCGTACCCTGTTCTTGTAAATCACAATGCCGGCGGACATCACTCCGAGAAGAATCTCTGTGTTGCTCTGGTCCTGAAGAGAGGAGAACAGTGTGTGTGTGAAGGAGCGTGTGTGTGTTTGTAATGAAGCGGAGCCAAACAGAGACACAACAGGAGTACGATATATTAAAAGAGAGGCTTCCTCACTGCTACAAAACAAGGAGCAGCTGACTCAAACTAAGAGTAGAGGTTAATGAGACACTGAGGAAAAACACACACGGACAGAAATCCCAATCTGTGCGGGACAAGAACAGAGTTCAGGTCAGAGTCCGATAGACTTCAGTCCAAATTGATTATCTAATTAAGAAATGTAATCCTGTATGCGCAATGTGATACTGATGATGACAGAGTGCTGACACACGTTTGTCTTGTGCTGCTAGTAGATTATCGGTAATAATTGAGATTCATGTGATTTTTTTCCACACAGAAATACTTCCTATGAAAGAAATCTAAATGGTGACTTGGCTGCACTGCTACCATCTGTTGCCACTTCAGTGAGAGCTGAATGCCAATGTGTGGCATTTCCGCAGGGTGTGGGCATCAACATCAACTGTACACACTGCAGCTCCTCCAACCGGTTCTCCATCCTCCTCGGCCGCTGAGGGACCGAACACAGCTTTGAATCAACCGTGTTGTGACAGTGGGGAGCAGATTGGGATTCTTTTGATATAAATTCTGATACCACCGGTTGTATGAGGGTTAGGGATTAAGTTATCTTGTACTGTTAGGGAGAAGAAGGAAAGAAAAAGGCCAGCGTGAGATCACAGACGCACGGACACGTCTAACGGGTCGCGTCGGCTTTTTGCTGAGGGAAAAAAAACTATGAGGCACGAGACCATACGGCAACACAAGAGACTCAAAACGTACACACAGCAACTCACCAAAAACAGACTTGAGTGTAAAGAAGAATAACACCTTACTTACCCTTGCATAGTGCAGCTCTATCCCGTAGAGCTCCAGCGAGCGTGCTGTGTTCAGATAATTAAACTCTGACTGGGCAGGAGATAGACCACTGAGAGCGAGAGAGGAAGGGACAGGTACAGGTACAAAGACAGATGGGGACGGGAGGTTGTGTGTCGGAGCAAAGGGAGTGATGATGACAGGGCGGGAAGAAGAAAGAGAGTGTGTGTGGTAGAGAGGCATATGAAGAAGAGAGGACGAGAAGGGCACAAAAAGGAACAAAAGAAATGGCCGATCAGAGACATGAAAGTAACAGCAGGGAAAAGGTCAGATAAACTGTGGCATATATATAGTTTACTGCAACACAATATACACTATCATACAACAGTTTATTGAACATTCAACCGAGTACAAAACAGTGTAGTTTTCTACTGATACTCTTTCAACTAACTCAAAAAAATCCCTGAGTGCAATAAAGCAGTCGTTGACATCGCGATAAAAAAGAAAAAGATATATTGTGCAGCCCTTATCTGGACATAAGAGTAATCTCTTCAAGGCCTGGAATCCAATTCATTTTTGAGTGATTTTCCTGCCACGTGCACGGCTGAATGCGTCAGTTCCTGTGAGTCTTTACATGCATTTGAATGTGTGTGGGATCACCGATGCGCTCGTGCATACCTGTGCTGCTGGTGGTGTTTGGCGACCTCTTTGTGGAAGTCTTGCGGAGGGTTGGGCAGGAAGCAGAATTCCGACAGATAGCCCGCCGTATGCTCCGTCTCGCTGTAGTCCCCCAGCTCAGCTGCAGAGGGAGAGATCCAGTTAATGTCAACGCGGCGTCGCTCGCAGAAAAAGGAGGAACCACACAGCTAACGAGACGACAACCAGGACGATAGAGAGGTCTGCATATGATGTGCACAGGTAGGACACTACACTGCAACATGTAGTTAAAAAACATATACTGGAAGAGCCAAACAGTTTTACACAAACACATGTAGCATTCTCTGTCCATTATCTGAAAGCTTACTTGTGGCAGATGTGCAAAAATATATTTTTATTGCAAATATGGCCTATTAAAGAAAACCTTGATCATCTTCATTGATAAACATCTTCCAGATATGAACATTTGTATGCTTTAGCTGATTATTAAAACAACTAACACCAAACCTTTCATTTAAATTGACACTCGTTAACTGACCGTGATTGTGGTTTATCGCACACTTTTCAATCTTTCCACCATCTTATTTACTTCATTAACATCTGTTCACACAGGAAAGCAAAGGAACAACCACACTCACAATGGTCTTTTCACACCTCATCTACAAGATTCGCACAGCCACCGACAAACCTCTTGTATTAAGAGAGTATGTATTATGCATTCACATTCTTTCTGAGCGTGCTGTTGTACACACGTCTTTCTTTGTCCTTGCAGATTTTCAACGGAGCCAACAGGCAATGCAACCCTTTTATACCATCATACTAACAGACCAGTCCTCAATGTGTGAACATATACCGAGCTGATCCGATACATGATATCCTCAACGCAGGCCAAAGACATGGTGAGACTGTGCGAGTACATAATACCATCTTAAAGAACATGTCGAAAACTAAATGGCAAGTATAGATCTTTGTCTTTCCTGATGAATGCATTTCATAAAGCAGATGGCCAGAGGTAATTACATGTGGCTCAAAATAACAAAAGACAGCAGCATCAAAAACACAGCTGCTTTCACTCAAAGATGAAGAAAGACGTGATTGTTAGAACAGGCAGAAAGATGAAGAGTGGAATGATTCTTAGATCTCTAAAAGCTTTCAGAGCGCTCAGAGAGAAGGAGCTCACTAGCTCGTGGTTAGAGCTCAAAAGCATCAATTTACTCAAGTAATCCCTGGACTAACCTACTAGCCGGTAGCTTAAACATATTGACCAACCAATCAATTCAAGCTCACCCGCTTATTGATGTGCACACGGCTCCAGGGAGAAATGTATGTACAGTCAATAGCTCACGTTTCAGAACGGTAGGCCAACGTTGGTTTTACTTTATGCTGCAGTTATTACTGTAACAAGGGTCCGACGTTCACACACGTGAAGCTCAAAGGCTGGCCGACAACCTGATCTCTCTTTATATATTCATCCATTGATGTGAAATCCATACTAGCTCACGCTCCCCTATAATGATGCTATTGACCAACGAGGCACAAACGAGACATTCAACTCATCATTTGTGATGATGGATTAACATGCATTGTGGGTAATTTAGTCCACATGTGTGACAGAAAACCTGATTGTATCCAATATCCACCACTGTCAATATGAATACAATACAAAAGCAACACTAGGCAACTCAATGAAACCCTGCTTTTAATGTAAACGTGTGGTGATGCAACAATATCGTACAGAATGCAAGCTTAAACGTGGGATTTAGAACGATCTGTGCCGGCACTCGGGCCGAGCAAACTGAATTAGCAGCATAGCAGCTGCTTCAAGCCGTTTTATTCCCCCCTCCCCCCCCAAAGCAAACATTTATCTTCACAATCTGGGCTGGCACCGAGCAGAGTGACAACATGGACCTAGCAACAGAGCGTGCGTGTGTGTGTGTGTGCGTCTGCGTGGGTTAAAAGCAGCGGTGTCATGACGGTGGTGATAGTCTGGGCCAAATCTCTTCTCTGGCCTATATACTGCAGCAGTGCAGATTCCCCACGAAATATGCCAGAGGGGGTGGAGGACAGAAAGAGGGAGAGAGAGAGAGAGAGCAGAGGGGAGTGGAGAGAGAGAGAGAGCAGAGGGGAGTGGAGAGAGAGAGAGGGGGGGGGGGGGGGGGGGGGGGGGAAAAAAAAAA